TGAACTTATAAAGAAATGGGGTTTCTTTTAATTTCTCCTTGTCATGTGCGAATGGCAGACGACAAGACCAAGTTCTTGTACCTATCCCCAATAACATAGGACATTTGAACAGCTTCCCAAATCTGTTCCCTCACGTCCTTGGGTATTTGAGTCCATTTCTTGTCCACAAGAGGGACTCTGGTGCGTTCCAAAACACCAATGTAAGACTGCATCTCAACAGCAGCATTGCCATGTGGTTTGCCCTTTTTATTGAACTCAACCACAGGCTTAACCTTCTCAATTTTCCTCTTCACAACACGGCTCATTGTGCTAATACCGCGGCCGGATTTTGGCTCCTCAACAAATGTGGTTGTGCTCGAGTCTTTCTCGAAGGTTGAGGCAAATCTCATCCTCTTCGAGGGTTTGCTTTGAGTTGATTTTTCTTCTTCCACTTGAGCCTTTGAAACTAATTTGGCTTCATCCCCTTGTGCCTTTGAACCTGATTTGGCTTTTGACGCTTGAGCTTCCTTGTTTTGAGATTTCGAAACCATTTTTAATTAATCTGCAAGGAAAACAACGTCGGTTATTAAACAGAAACAACGTAATAATAACAAAACAACGACGATAACACTAAAATAGCGACGTCCTATTAAACAGTCTCTTAGACCATGTATGGAAATAAGACGACGGTTTTATATCTTTTATGACGTAAATGTATATACACTACGTCGGTTACTCATAATAACCGACGTGGTTTAAAATTTACAAAGAAAAACACAAAACGATTGTTCTTCTCCCATAAGACGACGGTCTTATCTTGTTACCGACATATTAATTGTCACACCATGACGGTTTTTAACCACCGTCATGTGTCCATTCTATCGTCGAAAAGAAGACAGAACTGTCGTCTTTTGGTGTCGTGAAAGTATCGACTTATGTATTTAATAAAAACCAGTGAAAGATTTCCTCAATTTGACAGAATCTTGTTTCCAAACAACGACGGCATTCAAATGAAATGTAAAAAAAGGGAAGAGAGTGAGAAAAAACCTTTGGCGTGCAAAGAAAGTTTCCTTCCGACGAAGATGAAGACGAAGATGGTGATTTGGAGATGAATACGAAGATTCAGACGATGATGCTGCTTTTGGGAAATGAGAGGGAAACTACGATACTTTATCGGTGAGAGAAAAACGTAGAATATTAGGTCAGGTGACGAAAAGTTTATATATTTTCCCACAGTTCAATACAACGACGTTTTTATTAAAAACCGCCGTATTATGAAGTTATAACGACGGTAAATAATTCATAACTTACGTGGTTATCACAACTGCCGAACGACTTTTGGAATTCCGATGTGGTTATGACGGTGCTTTTTTATCTAAACTGACGTTGTACTTCGAAATTCAACGACTGTGTATTTTAATAAACCGACGTGGTTACTTGGGGGTTCTGAAAACGACGTCGTTCTCTTTTTAATACTCGCCAAGTGACTTTTGGATTTCCGATGTAGTTATGACGGCGCTTGTTTATCTAAACGGACGTTGATTATTAAAATATGACGTCGCTATGTATATTAGAACCGACGTTGTACTTATATAATTTGTTTAAATATGATTTTTTCACGCGTTTTTTAACTCTCAGTTTTCAATTAGGGTTGCAGAATGATTCCTCACAAGAAATTGTCTTTCTGAAAGCAAATGGGTTTGCAGAATGATTCCTCACAAGACCAATTACGCATAGTGGAGTCTGATTAGCGCAAGTGGGTGTCCAATCGCC